TGTGTGTCAGAATGTCGAAGGGCAAGGGAAAACAGCCGGCACGGCTCTCTTGCCAACTTCATAAAACAGATCATAACAGGAATAGAATGTGTCTGACATTATCTCTTGTTATCATATGCCTTCGTAATAAAATGGAATCAGAAGTTATTGGCATTTATTTTCAGTCCAAATTTCAACAGAAGTAACGATATTCAGTGGTTTTATTGCTCAATAGCAAGGAGCTGCCACGGCACACTTCCTGCCTCACTGCTGAAGTACTTCCTGCGTCACTGTTGAAGTACTTTCGAAAGTAGGCCCTCGGTTACTTTTGCGACGCACCAGTTCTGCCTGCCTCTCTTCTTCAGCTACCAATGCCAGAAGACCTACATGTAGGTTGTCACCAATCTTAATCTCAGACGGGCTTGTAAGTTGTTTGCAGGTTGCACTGAACGCTGCATCGCCAACTTCAGTGTACTCTTTACTTGACGTGTACTCTTTACTTGAAGTGAACGGTTGCAGGCAGTGCAGCGCTTATATATGTACCTGCTTAAAACACGAGAGGAGCCCGTCGGGATCCCGCCAGGAACCCGCCAGGGACCTGACAGCTGCCCGGCCGAACTGTAAGAGCCGGTCGGCACCCTACCACACGCCGCACGGGTCAAGACGGGCGACTGACCGGGCACCGGACGGGTCCCTGACAGAAACCGGCCGCAAAAGTTTATGAATATTAATGAGAGCCGCCGGCCGGAGCACAAGCAGGCCCCGACAGGGAGCCGTAAAGGAACATTTAATTGTGACCCTGACAGTACGGCGCACGCTCGGCGTCATGACGCCGGCCGGCGTCTACACCGAGGACATGCCGAACGGGCGCCGTTTCAAATGTGACCTAAGCATTAGACAGTGAGATTAGGGCGAGGTCGTCCGCCCAAGATAAACAGTTAAGTGATGTAGAAGTTAAAGTTGCAGGGTCACATTTGTTTGGATCAAAACATGAAGGTAGGTCATTAATGAAAAGGTTGAATAATAAAGGACTTAGATTGCACCATTATAATAGTAAGGTAAAGGCTTTGTGTATTGGGAGGGGTCGAGAAAAGATCGCCTGCCTAGTATGTAATATACGTTCAGCCTTCAACATAAAGGCAGACTCGTGGGAAAGACTTGCCAGTGACCGACCACTGTGGCGACGCACAGTTAGGGAGGGTGCCGCTACCTGTGAGGAAGCACGCAGAACTGCCGCACAGCAGAAGAGACGAGCCAGGAAGGAGGGTGCTGCCGGTCCTGTGGCGAACACTACTCTGTTCTGCACTGTGAGCGCTGGTTCCGGGCGAAAATTGGACTCTACATTCACCTGAGAACGCGCCCTACTACAGAGGGATGACAAAGCGGTCCTCGTCAACCTGACGGACGAACGACAATCGATCCAGATTCTAAAATAACGATATCTGTGAGGGAAAAAAATGCGATGTCTCTAATGAAGAAAAACTATATTTCAAATGATGTAAGTATAAAATGGTGACAGAAAAGTGCTATCAGACAGATTTTCTCAATCAGAAAATCATAATTTTTTTGCTGCCATAATATTGTAGCGGGTGCATTTTAACGTGCCTGGCAACACATATTAACGCACAACAATGAACTTTGGCACCACTAACATGTTGTCGACATGTACCGACATTATATACATGTACGTGCACGTTCTACCCCAGTAAACAACCTAATGGTATGTACATGTACATGCACAAATTCGAACTATCAGAACAACACACTTCCCGGCCCCTGCACGTACTACAGTCGTTGCAAGGAGGGTTGTAGTTGTAGTTCTTTGTAGGTGAGAAAGAAAATGGTTATTACCTTCGCCAAGAAGGTTATGTTTTCGTTGGCGTTTGTGTGTCTGTGTGTGTGTGTGTGTGTGAGCACGATAACTCAAGAAGGCTAAGATGGATTGTCTTGATACTTGGTAGGTGGGTAGGTCTTCATGAGACGTGGAACTGATTAGATTTTGGGCCCCCTAACGGCTTGTTATGGTACTGCAGCTGAACTTCCGGTTTTGATATCTCGTGATCTAGACATGCTAGGGTGACGAAATTTGGATGGTAGGTAGCTCTTGTGCTGGGGAACAAGTGACGTGAGTTTGGATCCCCTAGCGGCTTGCTCTGGAATTGCAGGGGCATTAGTTGAAAAATGTTTAAAGGCGGATAACTCAAGAACCGATTGATGGATCGTCGTGATTTTTGGCATGTAGGTAGCTGAAGTGATGCTTGACATAATGTTATTACAATTATGCAAATATTAATGTAATTTGCATAATTAATGAGGAAATTCTATATATCAGCTGCATTTCATGATAGGACTATTCAAGCTTGTGATATATGTAATGCAGAACGGCAGAAATACAGGCAGATATCGATTATGCAAATGAAGACTTAATTTGCATAATTAACGAGAAAATGTTATAATTACATAGTGGTAATGTCTGGAATTTCATACTTGGGATATTTGAAAGTTATGTGAAGGTGAACATTATTAAACATAATTTATTCAAATAAGGACCTCATTTGCATAATTTATGAGGACATGCTATAATGGCATGCATTGATAAGATAAGACTGTCTTCTGGTGTAGAATATGATCAACAGATATAATTGATGCAATATAGGATCCTATTCGCACAATCAGGGGAATTTATCTATAATGTCTTAGTCATAAAGGCTAACATCATTTGGCGAAGGTATGAGATCGTGGAACTCTAGTTATAACGTAACCTTGTTATGTAGAGAGGGTCAGGGTAGGACAATGTTTAACTTAGTCTATTAACCTATAGCTAGCAAGCAAACAATGACTTTGTCACGGGACAAGCTCTATGTAAATTAGACAGGCCACACGATAAACTCTATACAAATTTGTATACTGACGAAACAACGTGGTTCATTGCATGCGCAGTTAACAAGAAAGGCCGACATTTGCTCGGTAGCAAATACAGCATATTTCAGTCCATTTCCCTCCCCATTTAAAAATGGACTGTTCCATATCAACCTTTAATTTCCATCCAGTATATAATGAATGTTTCAAAGTTCGTAACAATTGTTCTCGAAACCCCCATACAGTGCTTTCAGTGTTAATGAACCCCAATATAGTTCTTTTCAACAAGTATTTACAAAACCCCAAATTAGAGCCTTTTAGTAACAGTGTTATCGGTTGCGTAGATCTGGTAGACATCAACTTTCGCTTTCTTCTTATATGGGTCTTCCAAAGGAGTACCTGGCGAGTGCCATGACGGACAAAGTGGACTGGCGGGAGAGGGTTTGGGACCGGGAACTACATGTACTCCCGACATGATGATGATGAGTAACAATGTTGGTCAGGTCATTTGGTTTTACGTTAGGGTACCAGAGCTAAAAGTGTAGATTTTTGTCTGAAAATAGCAAAAACCTGTACGGGATGTTAGATGTCCAACTGTTATTTTGCTTTTTCTCTAATGTCTTCCTTGCAGAAGAAAGCGATGTCGGCAAATGGACCAGCCCGTGACCCGGAAAGTTGTAAGATAATCAGTGGTGCATCAGCATTTCGGTGACTCTGGTAGCCTGTTGTTTTGTAACCGTTATTGTTGTGAGAGTCGTTATCGTTAAGCCAGTGGTAGAGACGGACTCACCGTCATTCCAGGCAGCCAACTGTACAACCGTCAAGAGCTACTAGACAGGTAAGTCGCCTGTTTCTTCTTTAGGCCTCACCTCCTTAATTTTATGGATGACATCCTCTGAAGACCCCCAAACGCGGGCGCGGGCGAATAAAAAAAAATTCCGGCCAAAAATAAAAATGGTACTAAACCACAGGAATACAAAGCTGGTATTGTGAATTTGGGCAGTACATAGCGACGTATACGACAAGCCGGCTCATGCTGGCTTTTTGTGGAATTCATGAATCGGCACTGTACGTTTGTACTGAGTTCTTGAGTATTGGAGCTTCGGTTTCCTGTGTGCCCGGCTCCGTATTGTCGCTAACTACAATGGACTACCCAAGCATAAGCCAGGCCAGAGCCTCGGTTGACGTGTTTTTTTGTTGTTGTTTTTTTTAAAAAAAACAGACAAAAATCAATGCGCGCGCGGATGTCATCCATAAAATTAAGACGGTGTGGCCTTACCCAGTATATATCCGATTTTCCCTGACGGTCTTCGCTAGAACGTGGCCATGTCGAAAACACAGGTAAGCGCCTATTGGTAGAGGCGTCATGAAGCGGCACAGAGTTCAAAGTGCCTAAAGTTGACAACAGGTGTATCACGTGATAGGTGTATCACGTGGCTCTGTGCTATTTTAAACTTGGGACTTTTGATGACGTCACTTTCATTTTCGCACTTTTCACAAAGATTCATCTGCCAGACGGCACCGTCCGGAGTGCATGGCGAATTCCTTCAGCTGCTGGTGCGGACTACAACTCTAACATTGCGCATACTAACCTTCTCACTTTGTAAAGCTTTCAGGTAAGATTTCATGATTGCATACACGTAATCACGACAATATTCACCAGCAGCCACCCACATTCTAGCTACAGCAGTTCCTGTTCGGAATTTTAAAGATTGCAGCCTCTTGCTGGGTATATAAATTAACCATGCATTAATCTAGCATTAAAAAGCAATTAAACTAGCATTTAGCTTTAAGTTAGCATTACCGTAGCCTGGATGCCAGACCCATAGCACATTAGGCTCAAAGTTAGGCTCACCGCATTGGATTACTTCGGGCCAGTGTGCTGTGGGTCTGGCACCCAGGCTAGTATTTCCGCAACATAAAAGAGTGTACTGGAGCAATTTTGGCCGCAGCCTAGGTACATGCATGCGATATTGATAAAAGATGGTGAACGCTATAAAACTGCAATATTTGACGAGTATTTAACCAGTTGCTTGATGTATTTTGTTACTCTCCAAGCAGAGGTCGTAACCTTTTTATATATGGCCGTTTTTCTGGCTAATGGATACTGCCTGGCCAATTTGATACTGTCTTTTTGCCACCGAGAGGGATCTGCTTGGAGATTAGCATTTTGTATCGTGTTTTTATGACGTCATTGAATCGAAGTGACATAGAATAAGTTACTCTTTAAAAATTCGACTCAAAACTTCGTCTTAATACAACAACATTTGTACCTGCAAAAAATTCGACTCAAAACTTCGTCTTAATACAACAACATTTGTACCTGCAAAAAAAGGTTAGATAATTTCAATAGCGTTTCATGAAATTGAACAGGAGGCGACTAAATAAATATCCCGACCCTCGCGCCCACCCGGGACTTTCCGTTCTCGGGGAATCCCCAAAGTTTCGGTGCGCAGCTCTAAAACAGAGCAGTACTCTGGGCCCAGGTCGGGGCTCGTGTCGGCCGGTTGTCCGGATCTAGTTCGAGTTTTCTGTCCTTCTCTGCGTCTGTTGGCCGTTTAGCTTTATAAGTCACTCGTCTGTGCTCTTGTGAGCATTTAGCTGCACAAATCTAACGCCCGAAAACAGCTCGCAAGTCAGCCAATCTACCTGTCTACGCCTGGGTGACGTCATCGCTTTTGTACAGGTAAAAATTATGAAAGAACTTCGCTTTTTTGCTTCATTCGATTTGCCGGAAAATGGAGGGTGTTGGCAGATATCGATCCTCTGAGTGTCCTACCGCTTGTTATAGCGCCAGTACTCCACCCTGCTGGACTGAAAATCCTGAAAAGGTAAAAAAAAACTAGAAAGGCCAATATTTGCTTTGGAGCAAATACAGCGATGGGTTCACCACATTTTACGACATGGCAGGGAAAGAATGAGAAACACAAGGGAAAACAATGATTTACATTGATATAACTATAATATGAAGTAAAATACAACTAAAACAACAGTTGGATAGCTATTCCCTACTTTATTGGTTAGGATTTTTAATTGCATAATGCAAACTGTTGATTTTCAAAATAAAAAAAAAACGTCCATGCCCCGCATTCCAATGCTGGAGCAGGAAAGCTTGAAATACCTACCAAAACACTTGAATACAGACATACTGTCAGTATGGAAATGCTCTGTGCAGGTGTTAATCAAGTTAAATCCCAACAGCCAATCAGCAAGAAGAATAGAGGAAAGCTGCATGCCTATTGGTTGATGCCCTGCATTCCATTGTGATGACTCATGCCCAAACGTGGTAAACAAGGCACACTAACACAGTAATACATTTGCTATAACACAGCCAAAAAACTCAAATAAAACCATTCTAAAAGCCTGTATCACAATAATTTAAAAAACGCCTAGGGGTATTTGCCCACTGTACCTCCATACCAAATTTCAGGACCTTGGGCCCTAAAATGAAGAAGCTGAATCCATTTAAAAAATGGCAGGAGAAGGAGAAGGAGAAGAAGAAACATCAGAAAAAGCAATATGGGTTCACCACCACTTCGTGGTGTGGTGAACCCATAAAAAAAATCTAAGAAACGCCACGTCACCGTATTTGCTTAAGGTATACAGTTAAAGCAGTGAAGATTTCTCCAGTGTTATGATACAGAATAACATACAATGATTTGATTTGATTTATTTGATAAATTTAATCTTTGTTTTTTGTAGTGTGCAAATTATTTCTTTCTCTTTTGAACCTAAACAAATGTTTTCCTAGATCACTAGTATAAAAGCCTGTGGGGGGGGGGACTTTCCGCCTTAGCAGGTGTATCATGGACTTCCCCCTTCCCAGGTGACTTTGCACAGGGTCACCTGATCATAAGTTCTTCTTTGGGTCGGCTGTGTCGCGCTGTGCGGTTTTACCCAGTCTGCTGATTTAGGGAATTTTCAGTTTATTTTCCATTGTTGAAGGGTGTCATTTGCAGTCTCCAGTGTTGGTTTGGCTTTCCGGGGAAAAGCTAAGGCAAACGTTAACTGTGTAAAAGGTTAAAGTAACGTTATATATTACAATAACTCCGAGTTCCCACTGATCCACAACCTAGGGGGCTCTAAGAGCTACTAAAATACGACATGAATTCAAGGATCTCATACATTCAGTACCTCCATGAAATAAGTTTTCTAAATGTTTTTGTAGATTTGTCTGATTTATTATGAGACTGTTGTAATTACCATAATCTGTTTTAATGACATTGACAATGAAGTTGCATATTCACGCCCTACATTAGCCAAACGCACTACGTTAGATAACTGAGGTAGAAGGATAGAAGGAACAAGTGTTACAATAATTTGCTTTGCTACATCTAACAGTTATATCTACAGGATCTCGCGATCGTCTCTCTTTTTGAAACATATATTTTTGAACATATTTACAAACTTTTTCATTTACATCCTAGTGCTTGGATGTCATAATTGATTTATGGTTTTCTAAACTCAAATTACAATATTTTCTGTGCGACATTCCTATCCTTTGGCAATATTTCATTTCAACATGTCCCCATCAATTGTGAAAATTATGGGAACAACTGAAATTTAGTAAGGTGGTAGAACGGTACATAAGACATTGAACCTTGGTCATTTTGGCCAACGCAGATGTCAGAGAATGATTTTATTGGCAAAAAATGAGTGAAAAAAGTTGCATTTTAAGCCCCAAATGGAACTTTCGAACCCGTTTAGAACCCGTTTAGAATTTTAGAAACGCGTTCCAATTCGGGCCGGGTTCCATGACCCCAGGGTGAATGACCGCGCGGCCTTTGGAACACGCCATCCAGGCGAGTGGGATGGGGACAAATTATAAAACAACATACCAAGGAGCAGGTTAGAGAGAGAGAGATGGGGAGCTTCATTCCAGATACGGTCGCTATTTTGATTGTCTTTATGGGACAGCATATTCTTCAAGTGAAGGTGGGTGATCTTGCACCAAAGTGAAGCCGCCGGTAGTGTCCCGGGTCCCCCCAGATACATCGAAACCATGGCGTCTCCTGTCGTGGACATACGCCGCAACCAGCCTGAGAGATGCGCGCCAACTTCCACGGTGAGTTGTGCTCCTCCAGTGTAAAATATGGCCAGAAGTACGGCTTCCACGAGCAGGGACTGTTGTTGTGAGCGTTTGGGAATGATTCTGACCGGTAGAAATATGCACAGCGTAGTCGCGTACCGAAGCGTACGTGTTTAGCTAGTATTGTTTACATTCTACGTCGTACTGTACAGTATCACGTAACTAAGCAATATATCGGGTTTAGCCCGAAAAATACCGTCAAAACTTCTAAAATATTCGGGTGTGGATCATTTTGGGCAGAAACTTACCGAACATTTGGCGTTTTTTTTTTCCGTAGATTTATCGATTACATCATCGATATGTCCCTTCCGTCATCACAGTGGGGAGGGGGGCGTGTGTGATTCTATTAAACGGCCTCCGTTTTCTGTCAATCGGGATCTTTTAGCCTGTGAAACCCAAGCTCCGGGGGGCTCCCTACATAGTCCGCCACCCAATAGCTTTTTTGGGTGGCGGACTACTAGGGAGCCGGCGAAAAGCGAGGTTCAGTCAGGCTAGGGATTTTTCAATGTTATCAAGATAGAACGCTAAAAACACTAGATCTATATAGAAAGGCCCACAAGGTCAACATTTGCTTGGGAGCAAATACAGCATATTTCAGTACATCTCCATCCCACGCAAAAGTGGACTATTCCAAACTTACCCCAGTGCAAAACTGGAGGATTCTCAAATAAATAAATTACATGCTAACCATGCAAAGTTTCACATCAATCTTATCTCACAATCTTGTTGCAGGTATCATATGCAAATACTAAAAATGACAAGACTTGATACATTATGAAGATCTAGTTGCAAAGGAAAGGAAACTATATGTGACTATGTCACAATTGCAATATACAGATTAACTATAAAGCTATACATACATATTTAACTCAACAACTATATATTACTTATATATGACTTGCATATATACAAACACTACATTAATATATTGAATAATTTACATATGATCGACATAATTATATTCATTTGAAGAACATCACATTTGATTTGGCAAATATTTCAGACGTTTTCTCCTTTTTTTTATTTACCTTTTATTTTTGTAATGCCATGGTAGTGTTATATTTTCCTTGGTAATGTCATATTCTAACTTTAAAGCAATTTCCATGTAATCCCATGTGTAGAGGTGTTCATTACTGCATTGTTGTCTGTAAATAATTTTTGTTTCCTTTTCTTTCAAGGGTCAAGCAGTTAGAAGATCCTGCACAGAACATACAGCAGGTACATGTAAGCTAGTGCTAAAAAGGAAATAGATTGGCTTTCTATTGAAACTGTGTAAGTACAAATAGACAGTAGATAAATGGTGGTGTCAGGTTCAAGTTGTAGTGTGAAGACTATATTATAAATAATAAGAGCAAAGTGTGCAAATGTTTTTATCACTTAAGGAATGACTTAGTCACAGTATATAATTTTTGATCATTGTGATGTTTCTGGTCATCTTTAATATACAAAATCTTACCCTTCTGTTTCTATTTTGCAGATTGGACCTCATGTAAGGAAGGAAGCAGAGATTGGTCCAGGAGAAACTGATTGTGACTATTTCTGAAAACACTTGTACCATTCTGATTTCTTTCCAGTACGTAAATATTAGATACGTAAAGTATATGTAAGAAATGTATATTTTTTTTCAATATGTATGTATAGCTTCGCAGTGTATAGAAAAATATGTATGCATTTATAGTGTATGTTACAGGTTTGTTTTATGTATTATGCATGTTTAGTTTTGTAGTACTTTATATAAGCCAAATTGTATAGTCTCCATTTTTTTGCAATTAGAGTTTAAAATGTATAAAATCTCATCATAATTATTATCTACATATCTGCAATAAGATTGTCAATAAATGTAAAGTGCCATATGGCCACACCAATTTAATTTGTTGGTTCTCGGATTTTTTCAGAAAAAATATGAAGCGACAGGGCGAAAAAAAATAAAAATAAAATCAGGTCTAGGCATCCTATTTTAGGCTTAAATGCTACGAAATGAGCCATTAAGTCAACACAAAAGGCTGGGTTAAAATTTAAACATTAAATTTTGAACTTTTAATCAAACCACTGCAATGATAGATGGGAAAACTGTAACAACTAGGAAGAAAAGGACTATCCTCAACTGTTGGGGGCAAAACATGAGCATTTTTCAGTTGATTCAGAACCAGAATCATATTTTTTTTTTTTGCAAATCAGAAAAAAACAAAGAGGCGAATCCGAGAACCAACAAATTAAATTGGTGTGGCCTATTTAAGTAAAATACTGTCCAAATTCAGAGTACTTGTAATTTTCAAACGGGTAACAAGATTGTAAGACAACTTTAAGGTTTCAAAAATTGTTTCATTAAAGCTGTCAAGATAAATTCAATGTGTACATGACTTATACATGCATCTTTCCTCTTAATTGCAAACATGATGAGAGTGTGTGCTGAGTGAATCATTTTTAACTTCATCCCTGGCCTTACAAGGGCAAAAACATTATTCAAATCCCCCAGTTAATGTTACTCTATAATCTTATACCAGTAGTTCTTCCACCCATCCTTCCCCAATAAAGGTATAAATGGTAGGCGACTCCATCCTGAGGTAAACATCATGCATTTGCTTGCAAATGTTACATTTCTAGTTGGTATCTGTTAATATTCCATCTGCTATAAATTATTACATTACATTATATAAAGTACTACATGTACCATACTATGTAAAACACTGTACAGAATTATTAACTATTTATTACAGAATTTCATAATTTCCTCTTTAATTATGTAAATCAAGTCTTCATTTGCATAATTTGCATTTAATCATTTACATCTCTCTATAAGCTACCTACACACCAAAAATGATGAAAATTTGTTGCTTTCTTGAGTTATCCACCTTCAAAGATTTTGTCAGAACCCCCCTGCAGTTCCAGAACAAGCTGCTAGGGGGACCAAACCCACACCACTTATTCCTGACAGGAAAATCTATCTGTCACCAAAAATCCATGACCATAGCATGTTCAGGCCAAAAGATACAAAAACCGGAAGTTCTGCTGCAGTGCCAAGGTCAGTCACCAGGAGGCCAATATTTGACCTTGACCTTTGTTTTCCTAAGACCTACCAACATACCAAATATCATCACAATCAATGAAGGCCTTTTGAAGTTATGATGACTACGAATGTGCAGATTTAGGATAAATGGGAGTGAACTAGGATGAACTGTCAGCTCGCAGATCAAATTCAGCTGGAGCCAAAATTGAGCCGAAAGCATGTGGTGTCCTTGCTTATACTTACAGTGTCTTTTTATTCTTCATAGTGGCTGCCACCATGGAGTCTCAGCAGGGCAACTGGCCATCGCCTCGAAACATGTTGTATTCGAAGATTAATGAGAGTTTAAATAAAGAGGAAGTGAAAAGTTTACGTGCCCTGTTGGTTGGTGAGAAAATTCCCAAAGGCAAAGTTGAGGAAAAGACACCACATGAGATTTTTAACATGTTAGAAGACGACCACAGAATAGGTAAAGGAAATCTTGGGTTACTGATCGGACTGTTGAAGCTCCTCAGTAAAACACAGCTGGCTGTGGAGGCTGAGGATTTGGAGAGAAATGAGCGTAAGTACAATTTGTAAACTTTCTACATAATGTTCAAGGTGCTAAAATAAAAGGTCTTTTCTTTTGAGCCTTTTTATGTATGCTTTCAAACAGTGAACTATTGATACCAATTTGAGTTTTAAAAAAATTGTGCATGTGTAATAATATTATGATGCACAAACACACATGTACACAACTATGTTGTTGGGATATGGACACACATTAAAAGTATCTGCCATCCATAATCCATTTTCTAGGCATGACAATGCCGAGCACAAGTAAGAGAAAGGCCCCAGAGGAGGCCAGCAGTACCAAACGGGCAAAGATGAGCCGTGATGATGAGGACTCTGCCAGCTCTGCAGAAAGTGACATTGGATGTTCAGCCTCAGCTTCACCTCAACAGGACACAGAGATGCCAGAGTCTCAGAGTGGTAGGAATTAATTGCTTCTGATGTTTTGTTGGATGATACAAATATACACAGTATGATTTATTATTCAATCTGACAGTATGCCAAAGTGCTGATTTAGCAGGAATCATCAAAAAGCCTACCAGGTATTGCAGTAGGAAGAATTTTATAAAATGTGGAAATTGTACTAAAAAACAGAGCTCACTACAAGCCATGCTGAGTCACTCAATATTAGTTAGGCCAAATGTTGAATGAGGACAATTTCTGAATCTTGATGCAGGTTTCAATGGGATGTCCGGGATCAAAGTTGGCCAAATTAATAAAGCAAATGTAGCTTCTAACGTAGCATAGATTTGTATGTAATACTACCCTAGTATGTAGTATGTTACAGTCTGACTTTAATTTATAATGTGGCGGGTACTTGCTTATTGGAGGGGGGGTCAGAATATTGTTGCTGTATGCAATTGCTGCCAAACTCAATGTCAAATACCGGTAAGCTTTTCAGTTTCTCCATTGACATATGGCAATGGAATGGGCAATTAAGAATATAATGTTGTGCTCCTCACATTGCAGGTAGAAACCTCATGACATCTGCTGAAGGTGCAGCAGGTGGATCAACATTTGAAACTGTACTAGGAGACGTGCGTAAGCGAATAAACCAACTTGCTAAACTGATCAATAAAGGTGATGTGGGGCCTGATGTCAGCGTAGAATTCAACTTAAACACAGGTGTGCAACTTAATTCATTAATATCATACATGCATCTATAACTAACAGCGTTTTGATTTTTGAATAGCATTAACATGGTTCAGGCAATTGGTGGTAAAATGGTGATGACTTTTAAAATGACATCGATTTGGTCTTCGGCATACTTGTTTTCTTATAATCAACATTTTAGCCTCTTTAGGGATTTTACTCTTATTTTGTATCAGCTCATATTTAGAAAAACAGACAACAAAACCTTTAGGAACCTTTTGAAAAAATTGTAACCTTCTTGGCAAGAGAAAGGTACCTTAACTCGACAGCTCCAATATGCTGCATATTGTTTTGAAATACATTGCAGGGCAACGTGCCACTATCAAGGTAACCGCTGCAAATCTCAAGCTCGCAGACGGCTGCAAGTTCGACGAGGAGTCTGCTGCCAGGCAGCTGTTCAGGTAATAGTTGGGAGTCCATTCCAGCAGAAACTTGGGCAACCGCTCTTCAGGCATCCTTAGCAAACGCCCTAACCATCTTAGTCTAATATTAATACCAAATATACACTGTCATGTTGTTCACATTGATGGTTGCAAGTGATAACAGATCAGAGTGAGCCACACATACAATTGGATTCATCTTGATTATATTTATAAGTTAACAGTTTTGAACCCAGATGTTGACAAAATCTCTCTCTTACACAGGTCAGCAACACACAACAAAAGTCATCTACAAGAAGATGGGATGACTGTGGACGAAACTGATGAGCAGGATGAAAAGGAAGAGAGGACAGAACTGGAAAGGGGGTTTAATTACATAGAGGCAATGGCTGGACAGGTGAGAAAATTAGCAACCCTTAATCTATGCACATAATTCTTCTGCATATTAATATCAGGGGGTACACCCCGTTTATTTTGGGTTTCAGTTCCAATCTGCATACACACCTTGAAGCCTAGTGACCGTCTCTTTCAGGAAACACAAACACAGTGTATGGAAATGACTGCTGGATGATGTTATTGCTCGACGTAAATTGTTCCATGTGCCACCCTCCCCACATACATTTACAGCATTTGACATTAGAACATCTCGACTTGGAAACCATTTATGCCTCAGTCATGTTGTGAGGCGACCCTCTTCAAGGAGACCACCTGTCCAAGGTGACCACTTTTCTTTGGTGCCCTGGGTGGCCGGCTTGGACAGGCTTGACTGTATATTTGTCTTCGTCAGAAGGACTATGAAATTGTCTCGCCGGAGTGTGGGGAACTGCGGATTTTGCGGTATAACTCTGGAAGGCATGATTCGACGTCCATGATTTTTGGCAGGCAGATTACCGCTGTTGAGGCCGAAGTCAAGTACAAGTTTCGGCTTCGCGGGGGGTCCGTGCGTCACGTTAGTGCACCTTTTGTGTTTGTGGCTTGTTAGCAAGATAACTCAAGTATTTGTAAAATGTTGATTATAATTCTTGGTGTGGTGCTTACTATTGTCGGGACCAAGCTTAAGTTCGTTACTGAGCTTCGTGGGGGGTTTCGTTGTGACTACAGGGGGCATTTTGTTAATTTTTCTTGTGAGCAGGATAACTTTTGTATGTGTGGATGGAAGTTAATGAAATTTGATAGGCATGTTACTGTGGTGGTCTCCAAGATTGAGTTCAAAGATGAGAGTCGTGGAGGTCGTTATGTCCCCGTAATAGGACCTTTTGTGTTTAGAAATCCCCCACCTACATCTGCTTGGAGACAGCCGGGGAACCCCATAATGGGATGGGATCAAATGACGTTACATTGAGGGATTGTACTATAACTTCAGCAGGGGGAGGATAGGTTGGACATATGTCAGGTTATTTTTCTACGGCCACACCAAGTAATTGCTATGGATGACGTCCACTGGAGACCTTAAATCTAATTACTAGTACCTTAAATTTAAGGCAAGCGCGCAATAAAAACACGAAGGGCCGAAAAACGAGATGCCTAGATTTGGAATATACTAACTGTAGAAATACAAATGTTAGGACACAAAGAACACAAGAAACAAGTCTTCTATTTGTCATAAAGACAAATTAACAAAACAGCAGTACGTAGTCACCCTGTTCTGATTCTTTCCTTTATAACATCTTCTCTTATTATATTTTGCGGCGCTGTCGTGACACTTTCAACACAGTAAGAATTTCTTGAACGTTTTTTTTTGCAGTAACAGTCCAAACTCAAATAACGTAGGGGGGGGGGGGGCTAACACGCATCTGTATAATCTGCGGCAAACCGTTTCAGGGTGTTCTGTACCATAAAAATAGTACAGAGATTCTTTTGTTCTTCAGACCAAATTGATTATTAAAAAGAGTGAAGAATACGCATGTTAATTTCTCTAGAACAATGTACCTCTGACGAAGACATGAGATCTCCGACCTCTAGTTATTTAATAAAATAGGCCCCAGATAATAATGAATAATAATATCACTTAAGCTGTACCATTTTGTGACAAATAAAATCTAATAAATCCTTATTATCATTAGGTGGGCAACGACAACATCAGCTCAGCCTCAAAAGATGAGAGTCAAGACTCAGCATCGCTTGGTGCAACAGCAAGCCTCACACAGCCACCAAAGGCTGGCAAAGTTCGTGTGTATCGCATAGAAAACAGCAAGTTTGTGCAAATTGGGGACAACAACCGCATGGTGATACAGAAAGTGACACCACAGAAAGATGGTAAGTAGTATTTTTCAATTAATGCCGCCTAGTTAGCAAATATATTGTACAATGAATATTTCTGAGAACATTAGCCGGAGTTGCTTTATCAGATCAACAAAAAAAATGCAGGTCCTGAAGATGTTCTGTATGAAAAACTTTCAGACAACCAAGAAGTCCCTGTCAGCAAAGCTGCCTTCAAACACTCTGAGGACAGCAAGGAGGCAACCAGTCAGGATGGAGCAACAGCCGCAGTGGAAGGTACTTTTTGTAGATTCATGTATATGTCATTTCATGGTGCTCATTTGTCAAACTCAAGGAAGAATTCACCAAAAAGCAGTTACTCAAGCAACTGGATATGATTTTGAAAACGTCAGACGTTTCAACTAGAATCCACTAGCTTTCGTCAGTGACTGAGAGACCAGAGGGGGAATGCAGGTTTATAAGCACAACCTATTGATTGATATGCAAATAAAGTGAAGACAAATTTTTGGAAGTCGAAAAAGGAACAAAAGTCAGACAATTCAAGACAAGGTAATGCAAATTAGTCAGAAAGCTCCTGTTATACAGAACAGGAGCTTAAGTGTTGTCTGTCCTCGGGGCTGGGAGTGCCAAATCCCAAGTGCCGGAAATATCGACTCGTAGCCCCCCTTCCCTGTTGAGGGTGGGGTTGTACATTCTTTCATATATTGCCTCTTGAACACCCCGTTCCCACCGCATGTTTCGCGGTCTAAGATATCCGTGGTCTCGAGTTTGAAAGAGTGACCCTGGTTGTGTTGTAGGTGGTGGAAAATAGCTGAGGAGTAGCCGTTGGCACTAGGTCGGCAATGTTCTTTGTATCTTACTTTGAGCGGTCGACTTGTCTCTCCGATGTAGGTGTTGTTACAATTGGGCTCCTCACATTTGAGTCTGTAGATAACATTCGCCTTGGTACCTCCCCTCTGGTCTCACTGACGAAAGCTAGTGGATACTAGCTGAAACGTCTGACGTTTTCAAATCATATCCAGTTGCTTGAGTAACTGCTTTTTGGCGTATCGTATTACCTGGATGTCTAACCTTCATCGACGTATCAAGGAAGAATTTCCTAATAATAGAGACACCAACTAAATCGTGAAACAGCATCAATGAATCTTCCTTCGTCTTGAAAATTATCAGGGAGATAAGTATAGAATAGAACACGGTGTATTCCGTATCGCCCGAGGTACCAGCCTGACCGCAGTTCGAATAGCCCGAAGGCCGGACTGAGGTGAGATCCGATCCGCAGGAGGGCTGGGACTGAGGTGCATCTAAACAATAATTCCAACATCCGAATTTGGTGTTCGAAGTTTTCAAAGTGGCGCACTCGCACATTATTCTATGGAACATTTGGAAGCCCAGGCGGCACGCATAAAGAAACCCAGGGTGTACCGCTACTTTTAATTATCACACGGGCCGGAACACCCGTATCGAACGTAATCGCAGTCCAGGTATGACATCAAATAAAGTTATCTGAATCTTTGTCCTTACAGAGGCAGTGCAACTGGAAGAGGCTGCTGCAAATGTTCCAAAAGAAGAGTTTGATGACCAGTTCCTGACTTGCCAAATCTGTATGAACATCTACAATGACCCCCGAATCCTGCCATGTCTTCACACCTTCTGTACCAGATGTCTGGAGGAATGGCAGAAGGAAAGCAATAAGTTCATCTGTCCCGCCTGTCGGGAACAGTTGCCACTAGGAGCAGAAGGGGTTATTGGCCTTCCTCCCAATGTCTATGTTAACAGCTTACTGGACTTCAGGACCCTACAAACTAGCAAAAGGGCTAGTGCCTCCTGTCAGATGTGTGAGTCTGGGGCCAGCATAGAGGGGACTTGTGGGGACTGTCATTTGCTCCTGTGTAGGAACTGTATAACAGCTCATGGCAATGCTCCAACACTGAAAGACCATTACATCATCACCCTAGATGACCTGAAAAACCCAAGAAGCAGGTCACAGTACACCCGGGCAAAGAACTGCCCAAAACACAACCAACGCTTGATGTTTTACTGCCAACCCTGCACCAAGCTTGTTTGCCAAGCCTGCACCAGTACCGAGCACTCACGTGCGCTGAAGCATCATGACCCACAGGAGGTGAGTAAGGCTGCTCAAAAGATCAAGGCTGAACTGCAGACTTTACTGGGGCAAACCCAAGATACAGCAGACACCCTGAAGAAAACTGCAGAAACTGTTAGCATGGAGCTGACAAGCATCACTGCAAACTGTGACATGGAGGGGAAGAAGATTCAGGAACATTTTGCACATCTGAGAGCAAAACTGGACGGAGAAGAACAGAAATGTAGAGACAAACTGAGGGAGATGGAATGCACTCAAACAGAGGCTCTTCTGAAGGAGAGAAAAGGTTTAAAGGAGACTTTAAGATCCACAGAAGAAGGACTTCAGTTCTGTGCAGATATACTTGCTCGAGGTAATGATGTAGAAATTCTCACACTCAGACAACAGTTAGAAGGAAGGCTTAAGAGTTTAACAGCATCCAAAATCTCACACAGAGAACTGGAGAAGGCAATATCATTCCAGCCTAGCTTAGAGATGTTAACATGTAATCCAGGGACTGTATCAATGTGTAATGTGGGTATCACAGTCCCAGAGCTGCCGGTAGAAAGTCTACCAACTACACTGGCCCCACGGGGTGGCTGTGACAGAGGATGGACATGTGTTTGTAGCTGATGTTGAGGACCACTGTATCAGGAAGTACAGATACATGTGAGGGGGCTTAAATGATACCCTGTGAGTGAAGATATTATCATGATGATAGTATTGAAGTATGAAGCATACACTTAATTTTAAGAAAGCATTATTGACCTTGTGATCTGTAGTTTTGAAAATGTTTTTCTTTACAGAACATCAGATGATAGTGTTTATGTTAATCTGTGTGATGTAGAAACTCAAGTTTCAGCATTCTTTGCCCAGTAATCTAGAGTGTGTCTTAAAGATTTGTTTTTTCCATACATGTATGTAACTTTATAATGCTTGTCAATGAGTAGAATACTGCAATGTAAACCATATATGTATATGGAAGTTTGATACTATTTGCGACATTTGTACATTAACGTGCAACAATGCAGAGATTGAGTTCCAAAGGCCCTTTAGATGTAACATAACCAGTCTATAACATGTAATCTATGAAGTATGGATTGTATGAAGTAATGTCAATAATTCGTTGATATATGAATTATACGGACATACTTTTAATTATCCTGCTCACATTCAATATTGGTTGTTTGTCATTTTGTATCATATTTGGCAGTACATATTATTCATAATCATACAGGATAAAGGTTTTGGGGAATACCTTTTAGGGCCAGGCTACACCTGTCGCCCAGGTGCGCCGACCAAGCGCATCAGGTGGGACAGCTGGCGCCATCTGCACCTGTAACAGGGGGGGAAGAGATCTTCTCACCTGTTGCTAGTGATGACGTCATGACGTCCCGTCCGCTCCAGACGTAATGAGCGCCCGTTTTGGCGAGAGGAAAACACGAGGGTGAAAACTCTTGCGCTTGGTCTGCGCATCTAGGCGACAGGTTTCTAGCGAGCGGACAACCTCCGGGTCACGGGGTCACCCCGTCCCGTAAAGGAAGGGAAACCCTAAAAACCTCCTCTCGCAATTGACAATACATTACGAGAGGAGGCTTTTTTTTATTAAAAATGATATTAAAAAAGATAGGAAATAAAAAGGAAATATCTTTTGGGGCCAGGCTACACCTGTCGCCCAGGTGCGCCGACCAAGCGCATCAGGTGGGACAGCTGGCGCCATCTGATGTTGTTCTGAAGAAGAAGCTCGCGAAGCTGCGGGGTGGTGTTGAAGGTTCCGGTGTCGGTACTGTGGATGTTGTTGTGATACAGATGAAGTGTAAGCAGATTATCCAGTCCCACAAACATGTCGGATCGGAGAATGGTTAACTGGTTACTGTGAAGGTACAGGTGAGTTAACCTGGTTAAGTTGCAGAACGCTCCGCTGTTGATTACGGAGATCTGGTTGTAATGAAGGTATAATGTTGTCAGACTGCTGTACCTGGAGAAGTCGGACTGGTTTAAGGTTGTGATGGAGTTGTGAGTCACGTAGAGGGTAGTGATGTCTGTCGGCAGGTCCTGAGGAACACTGGTGAGGACTCTGTTGCCGCACCAACAAAAGTCTGATGAACAGCTACAGCTGTGGGCTGCGGTCGGGCGAGCTTCCTTCAGGATGATCAGCAGAAGAACCAAAAACCTCTTCATCTTGTTTGCCATTTCATCTGCCCAACAGAGTTTAATAATCACGTCACAATTTATGGTTATTAGTACTCTGTTATTGATATATCACATATATTCCATATATCCCATACATCCCATATATAGGTCGTGATATCATGGTGATATGATACAGAAAATTTTTAAAGAATAATCTCATGAATAGATTTGGACACTGTCGTTTGCAGCTTGATTTGCTTACTTCAGTTTTTCTTATTGCCAAATGTTGTTGGGTGTGATGGAGTACATAGGATAGTTTTCAGTAAGCCCATAAGGCAGAGCGTGGGTGCTGGGGTGAGTCAGTCGGGGCCTAGGCTGGAGAGAGAGAGGTCCGGTGGCCTGTACTAGGGCAGCGGTCTGGTATTAAACGGAGTTCCTTGAGATCAACCCCGGCTCATTTCGTGACATTGGGCAAGTGAGCGCCACTTAAGCAGTGCTTCAAAAACAGTCTCGGTCTCTTTTTTCAGTTTGCACAGGTTTCCTCACACATGTGCTTGAAGGTTATAGTACTAGTAGTACCTTAATGCTTCTACCCATTATATCCAGGATTACCTGAAAAGCAGGCCAAAATGGCCTGAGTTGTAATTACTGGTAATACAAACAAAGTGACAGTCTCACCTGAAATCACGACCCCAAACTCTCCTGACGGCTGTGGTTTATCTTGTGCCTCGGTTAAGGTTGGCAGATTCTGTGAATATTAGACACGGCGGCTAGTCTCACACGCTACACACAATTATGTACTTAACAACACTTTTAAGTTAGCGGTTCAGATTTGCGGGTCCCTGTTATAACTCACACCACCGACAAGGCTAGAGCCATGGCGGACTGCAGTGTTGTTAGATACAAGACTTGTAACTAAGGAACGTCATTAAGGAATGACAGTCTTACATCAGCACAGGTTGTTTTGAACATGACAACCCTTTTGGAAGGAAGCACCGATAAGTGAGTGGAAAACAAACAAAAGTTGAAGAGTTATGTTGGTAAGCATCATATAAATGTTTTTAAAGATCTTTGCAGGACAATATTTCAGAACTTAAGGAGGATTCCTTTTCAAGACTCCTGGTGAAACACAGGTGTTGTCTTCAACTCAGCTCAATTCAACTAAGTCTCAACTCAACTCAACCATGACTCAAATGAACGTAAGCTTAACCTAGGCGGCTATTCCCTATTCTTGGCTTCACTATTTAAAGTGTAGTATGATCTATTATCCAGAACCGTGTCTATCTAGTTCTATATCAGAATGGGTTAGGGTTAAGATCAGGCACAATCCTTGCTGCCAAAGTTGGTACAAGCTTTGTACCAGGCGATTCTCTCAGCCTAAAAAGGTTAAAGATGTCCCGAAGTACTCGGCACGCCTTGAGTTTACCTGCTCTGCGACATACAAGTTCAACTCGTCTGTTGTGAGTTCTGCCGTCGTCAAGGAAATGGAAACCTTGTAACTACGCATCGCGAAGAAATATTCATCCGCACCGGTACACAACACAGACGCCGTCTGTAAGGCCGATTTATTCCAGTACATTGAATTTCATGTCAATTTTAATAATGTTTAATTTCAATAGAGCGTCCATTTGGCCTAAAGGGCCTTTATGCCCTTTTAGGCCAACTTCTACGATTTGTTCAGCCTGCAAAGGAGTCTGGTGAAGACTAACAAACCGCAGCTAGCCTTGAATTCGGCCATACGTACTGTGTGGTTAGAACCGTTTTAATCTGTCTTCACATAACGCAGAGAGGAGCAAGATTGGAAAGGGTGTAACTTTCACGGCTAACTCCCTAGTGGAACCAGCAATAGCGCGTATATCAGTATCTGTACAGCCGGTATAACCGCCCTTCGGCGTAACACACCAGCTTCTGTATCTGTATAGCCGGTATAACTACTCTCCAAGCAGAGGTTGGTGGGGAAAATTGTGACATTCTTTATCATGCGCCCGGTTTTTGTCCGCCCTCCCCACCAACATGTAGGTATAACCGCCCTTCGGCGTAACACACCAGCTTCGCAGGCACGCGGCGCGGCGGCAGCTAGCTATATCACACCGAACGACTTGTCACACTCAATCTTTGCACATTTAATTGCAGGAGTTGTTTAAAGCTGAGTGTTACGATTACCCAAGAAGCTTCAACAATAACTAAACTGCGTCCTCTTTTCTGCAATATCCTTGTCGGTCGCTGCGTGGCGCTTTTTGTCTACCATTGCTCGTTCACAAGAAGATCAAGGCAATTTTATCAATATAGGACGTTCAGTGATCCTGAGAGATGTTCAGAAAAACAATGATAACAGATACGTATTTATTTGGAATATCAAGCAGACACAACAAGATGACTTCATATCCCTTCAATCAATTTCTGCAGCTTCTTTCGTGAAATAAAATCTACCACATAGCGCAGTTACAGCAGACAAACTTAACACATAACTCTACATGACAACACAAGTGGACAAACGTTATAAGTCTCGCAGCAAACATCACAGCAGTACAAAACTTTTAGTAGTTAGTAACTGAACATTTAGTTATCACACTTCAATGGTTATATTTGTGAAAACACATTAGTGAAGAGTCTACGCTATTGTTTATTTACTGAAACATCATTTATCAACAGAAAACAAAAGTTTGAATTTTCTACTAGAACCAGTCCGAAAACTCAACCAACCGGACATGTGTGGAAAACATTCCAGACCTTTCAAGTTCATTACCTTAGGATGTTTGCAGTGCAACTTTCAAGCAGCCTGGTATCCAGCCTTGCTAGCTTTAGTCCGCTACCCAAGATCCGCTCCCCGCCAACTGACCTGCTCCTGTAATGGGAGGGAGGGGAGGGCGCACCACCAGCCTGTAACTCGGCTCAAGGTCGTACGGAATAGGGTCACGGTTCCTGGCTGTGACGTGAGTGTCCGGGTTGGGGGCGGGGGCGGGACTGGTTTTGCGTCTCTTGTTTTTGTACAAGATCGCAAGGAAAATGGCCGAGGTAAGAAGCGATCCAACAACCCCGCCAGGAAAACCGCTGAGGAAAGCGGAGAGGGAGAAAGAAGCGGAAGGGGTAATGTCAGCCGATGGTCCCCCGTGAAGGGTACTTTGTGGTGAGAACCCCCCGGGACGGGTATTCTGCGGTGAGAACCCCCCGGGACGGGTGCTGTGGGTTGAGAACCCTCCCGTAGGGGTATTCTGTGATGAGAACCCCCCGGAGGGGTACTTTGGGCTGAGAACCCCACGGGAGGGGTACTGTGGGTTGCGACCCCCCCCGCCGGAGAGGTACTGTGTGGTGAGGACCCCTCTGGAGGTGCTTTGAGTTGAGAACCCCCCTGGAGGGGTAATGTGGACTGAGAACCCCCTTGGAGGGATACTTTGAGTCGGGAACCCCCCTGGAGGGGTACTGTGAGTTGAGAACCCCCCGGGAGGGGTACTTTGGTGTGAGACCTACTGAATCTGAATAACATGAAAACGTGAAATCTAAAGCCAAGATTGTTTTTTTCTCGCCTATGTTTGCTATAATTGTTCATTGGCCTTTCATACACCTAATATTTTCCTTTTATACACCTGCATGTCATACTAAATACAGTCACCATTTCTCTCCTACCTTTCATCTTGATGTTTAGTATTAAACTTAGATGAGTGACGTCATTTCTCGTACATCTGGCCAAAAAGCACACTAACGCGGGATCGCACAGAGTTTAAACGGATGCGGTTTCAACGTTAGACCAAAGATGCCCTCAGTGGTTGGACGAGGAGCGTCCTCTGGCGGCCGGAAGGTGAAGGACTGCAGCAGGGTAGAGAAGAACAGGAAAAGCTCCATCCTGGCCAGCTGCTCCCCGAGACACACACGTCGGCCTGGAAATAAAGAATGACAAGTAGTAAAATCAGCCAACCGTCATGATATTATGTAACATTCTTGTGGCAATTATATCTCTGGGGCTGATACAAAGGCCTGAGGAATTAAAGGCCTATTAAAGGCTGATAATTACCTCCTGAAAAAGGCATGAAGGACTCAGGCTTGTTGATGACGTTCCCTTCCGCGTCCAGAAACCTTCCGGGGTCAAACCGGTCCGGACCAGGCCAGTAGGCGGGGTCCATGTGGAGGGAGTACAGGTTCATCATCACCTGGATCAAGGAAAATAGAAAATACGTCCATCCACTCAAACACACACTAAACAGAACATAAGAACTGGTACTCTTTCTATAACATTACATGTTGTTTACCCTCGGGCATGAACTTGCAAAAAATATCATGGATGTACCTTAGCTGTGTGCAAATGCAGACAGAATTGCCTTCAAATATTTGATGTGTGGTCGTTTTCATTTATCACTTATTTTGGTGGATAGATCTATGGTTTCAGGACCCGGCCCGAAGTGTCCAAACTTGTCCAGCCCCCCAGAAAGATATTGACGTGTATGTATCCTCCGTCACCATAGCAACCAGTCATTTCCGGAAGTTCTAGGAATGAGTCTATGACTGGTCAGATACTGGTCAGTTTTCTGGACTATATTTTGGGCCCAGACAAATTTTACTTCGAAGTTGAAGAGCGTTGGCGTGTGGTCGCCGTTGACATGATGTTTTCGATATGCACATCTAAACGCTAGAACTCCCACTACATTCTCATCCCATACTGCATAGTAAAGTAGATTAGTCTGATAGTATGTTTGTTATTCCAAGGAGGTTAAATTGTATTTAACCACCTTGGTTATTCCATGGAGGTAGAAAAAGACTCCATGGTTATTCCAAGGACATTCTACAACGGTAAAACGGGGTAGTACTCGTAACAGAAGATGCTATAATACCCGGGTTACCTTGTACATTTTTTGCGGCACTGATAAAGAAAGGAGTTCCTCCTTGAATTAAATTAAATTGTACCAGTGAAAGGATAAAATCAGTTAAGTCTAGAATCATTTTTTTTTCCTAAAAATCAGTGCTATCGTTACAACGTTAATCATGGTTGTCAAGAGGATATTATAGGCTCCGGCGCGCCCTTAGCTTGGCCCCGACTTTGATTGTTCGAGATATGACTTTAGTTTATTTAGTATATTTAGTTAAGAAAAGTCTAGTTGCCTGTATTTCACTGATTGAAGCAGAACACATTTTATTTCTGAACTATGTTTTCCTTTTGCGAAGTTTAACATAACAGGACAAGACGTCGTCCATCATCATGATCGGCAGGCACCACCCTCGTAATCTCCAAGCAGATCTTTTCGGGTGGCCAAAAAAGATACTAGATAGTATCCAACACGCGGACAGTATCCAGCCGTAGCCTCCTTCGCAGTCTTGTTGGGCGTCGGCGTTATTACTCCGTGAAGGAGGTCAGGACCTCCGGACGGAGTGTTGTGATCAGCTGATTTTTCATGTTCGCAGTCAAAACACTGGGTTCTATTTGTGTAATCGGCACGCAATTTTATACGCCGTCTGCGGGCATGCCCGTGTTGATACACGAATGTGTATTTTTGCCGTTGCTGCTTTCGCGGTCAATGTAATATTGCAGACGCACCCCTACAATTACGAGGCGAATTGGAATGGTCCAGAAAAACGCGTTGTTTGGAATAGCAGTGGGGGTGGGGGGGTGGAACTTCATGCAGATACGGGGTGGTTTTGATAAGTGGTTCCAGATGTTTTTGCCCATGCTTAAGAGATGCCAAGTTTTTTGGAAGATGTTCGCAGCCAAAACGCATTCTTCCGTACGTCGCATTTCTGTGTAATTTCGCATGTGGTGTGGCATTATGTCCGGGATGATGCACGTCTTTTTATTTTTACCGTAGCTGTTTTGATATTGAAGTAAATGCATATTTTAGAAACATCCCTACTTTTACAATCCTGTGGAATAGGCCGTAGGTTTAGGCAGTTGTCTGGTAGCAGAGGTACTCTAAGCAGATATCCTGGTTATCTGGCCGGCGGTAGTAACACTCGCGGTGCTTACCGCAACTGTTGCTGGAATTTGGCTTGTTCCAGGCGCGCTTAATTAGGTACAGGCACGGTAAGACGGTGGGGCTGTCTTTGTTACTAGACACGACCATGATAGTCCGATCTTTATGTGAATGCAATGATTGTGTGTGTGTAATTTGAACTTCGAACTTGAAGCACAGTATCTTTACACGCCCTGGGAGCAGTAATGGATTTAGCTCTTTGTATGTTTTATGCTTGTGACGCGCCCTCATTGTATTAACCGTTGCCTAATTATAATGTCTGCACAGTAGGTCTGGCGTTGACGCTTGGGATTTTGTTGAAATATATAAAACTTCACGGAGGATTGTTACCTATGGCTTCTTGTTTTTTTCTGTGAGCGACGTGAGTAATTATGCGGCCGCGAGAGACGATTTGTTGCCGAGGGAGTTTTTGCCACGGAGAGATGGAGCGCGAATCCTTCTCTCCGTGGCAAAAACTCCGTCGGCAGCAAATCGTCTCTCTCGCCCCATAATTACTCACGTCGCTCACAGAAAAAAAATAACGCCGACGCCCAACAAGACTGCGAAGGAGGCTAATCCAGCCGGCCGACAGTATCCAGCCGGCCACCGAAGGATGGGCCGGCTGTCAGAAAAAAACGGGGCATAGAAAAAGGCCACAATCTTCCCATTCAACCTCTGCTTGGAGAGTTCCACCCTTGGTCCAACGGCTCGCTCCAGCAGGTCGGATCGCACTCAGTCCTTCATCATCATCATCAACATGGCTGCCGCAGACCAAGAAACCCACGCCAGGCCAGTCCGTCCTCGTTCCTACAAAAACAAGAGCCATCAGCGCGTTTTTTTGGGAGCTGTGGGTGACTTACAGAAGGACGGAGTACTGCAGGATGTCGTCCTTGAAGTCGAGGGCCGGCGGTTTCCCTGCCATCGGCTTGTTCTGTCCGCGGCCAGCCCCTACTTCAGAGCCATGTTTACTAGCGACATGGCGGAAAGTCGGCAGGAGACGGTACTTTTACAAGTGAGTTGGTGCGAGGTTCAAAACCTCCTTGATTACGTTTATAGGGTTAGTAATTCAACAACAAAATGGGGAACTTAGTACGAGGCTACGTATCATAAAGAAATCGCTACACTGTTTTGTGCCAACGCGTCTAGCCGGCCCCTTAGGGACTGTACGATATTT